CTCATTTATAATAAACTTTTTCTTTGGGCATTGCTTTAAGACTCAAGTGCATTCAAGTATCTATTTGTTCCATCCTAGTTACAAAGCGCACTAAAAAAAAAACAGTCACATTTAGCGTTAGAACATTGAGTAATATCAACTGGGCACATAAATGACAGGGGCCTAGTGGCAGTAAAAATGACACACAATCCATGCATCATCGTCAATAAACTGTAGTAAAAGAGCTGTCCTTGGTAATACAAGTTAGATTTCCTTCGGTAAGTAATATCGGAACACTCAGCGTAACACGTTGTTTTCTTACATTCGGTCGCAGACTTTATAAGTGCGCTCAAAGACATAAAGGTTTGTGGGTGTCACCGGTTTGTTACAGTCCTGTGTGTGCCTCTCAAGGAGCATGAATGGCTTGCAGTCTGCCTTTTACAGCTGATTTCGCGTGTAAGCTGCTCGACATTTTCGCTGGAGGGTATTTCACAGAACAACACAGCCAGGGTTTTGTTGGGATGGCTGCGATCGTTTCCTCTGCCGGACCCGTACGGAAAGCTCCAAGAGCGCTGGTCATCGCAATCCTGTGCATGGTCCTTGGTGGTAACCTTGGCGGCTTCATCTTTGTCTCAGGAATCTCTTCGAAGGCGTATGTGACCCGCTCTGTGGTGCACGCCGAGAGGCCTCTGGTCGCTCCGGTCGCCACCCCCTCGGCGGTCGCCTGCGCGATGCTCTGCCGCCGCTCGGAGGGCTGTCTCAAGTGGAGTCGCCGCGCGGAGGGGCCCGCGGTGGCGCTGTGTTACCTGTGGCCGATCCACTCTGCCGACAACCCGCTGACCGCCACTGCCGAGACGGTCTACCAGTACATCGTTCCTCCCGGGTACGAGCGGTCACCGTCTGGCCGTCGTGTCGCCTACAGGGGTCATGCCACAGTAGCTGCCGGAGGGTACGGACTGATCGACAAGTGTCGCGAGGATGACCCCGAGTCGGCGCCGGCCTTCCCGGCCAACGACGAGCAGTTCTACGAGATCATCAGCATGCCCTTCGGCCAAATGTGGATCAGCATCAATGACATCAAGGACGAGGGCGTTTACAGGGACTTGTTCAACGAGAGAAACGTCACACTGAAACCGGAATGGTATCAGCACATTTTCAACCACGTATTCGAGAGCTCGACTAGTCCAGCCTCCGACTGCGTCCTGATTGTGGAGAATCATGGGGTGATTAACAGAAGTTGCCAGCTGACGTTAGGCTACGTCTGTGAGTTCTGGTGGTAAGTTGTGCTCTGCTCATACAAAAAGGTGTCTATGGGTCTGTTCCAGTCGCACTTCCTAACACCTCTAAACTCCTCCAAGATTGCTTCCCTGTTCCAGTGGCAGCTCTAGCCCCTACAAAGCCAAGGAGGGCCCTGCTCCAACCTCCTCTATCTTGCTCTTGGAGGAGTTAACCCGCGAGTTGCTGGGGGGGGGCGTTAAACGCCCCCACTTTTTTCGCCGGGCCATAGCATAAAAACGGCGCGCCGCAGGCGCGCCAAATTTTGGGTACCTGTAGGGAATTGATTGAAGTTTATTGTGACAAAGTTTCAAAAAAATCGGTCGGAAAATTTTTGAGATATCGATGTTTTAGTGACGTCATGATTTTTGAATTTTCGACAAAAAACGGCGTATGTTAAAAAAATCATATAAAATCACAGAATAGACATACAGACATGCCGTAAACGCCATTAGACTGCCAATACCATGAACAATCAAATGGCTATCTTCGATTATTGATTATCGTTCCGCATTTTCCAAAATCTTGAACTGAATCTTGACAATTTCTCGTGACTACTTCACGACTATGATACATGCATTTCTTAATTTAAACTTTTTTAGCCAAACACGTACACATATGATAAAATGAATGTCACCATCGTGTTCTACGCCCCAAATTACCCATAAAACATGTGTCACGGGCTGCGAATATCAGTTTTGATTTTCGGGGATATGTGCCTACCCGGTTGACCTGACCTTGACCCTGACCTATGCTTGACTGACCCCTACATGGAGCTGACACTCTTGTAGGCCTTATACGATGGATTGTGCACCATTTTGACAGAGTTTATGACGAGAGGCGCCCATTGCGAAGTCCTGAAGTCCATGCTACTGAAAGGCCGATTTCAGGTGTTTGACCTGACCTTGACCCGACCTGTGACCTCAAAACTCAACTTTAAAGTACTCATCTGAAGCGTCTCGTCGCGCTCTTTCGTTTGCCGCCTCGTGCGTTTCGCTGCGCCTATTGGTTCTCGAGTTATCGGCTGGGGGCGTTTAACGCCCCCCCCCCAGCAAACGGTGGGTGGCGAAATACCCCAGCAACTGCCGGGTTAAGAGGTGTTAGGAAGTGCGACTGAAACTTGCAAGGATGCGTGGTCTGGAATTGGGCGTTCCACACAATCCCACACCTTACTTGTATAAGCTATAACACATGCACTATACAATACTCTGCAGCAAAAGCTCACTCCGCTAAACACTAAACCATTTTATCATGGCATTGCTTGAGCCTGCGACTCTGCCTGCAACCACAGAAGATTCGCGGTTTCTGATAGGTGTGGCCAATAAATGAGTGTACCGACATTGTAGTTTTCCTTTTCATCTTGCGTGAGACAGAATCATGAGATGGCTGAAGAAACGAGCATTAGGATTTAGGAATGCAATTTTTCACGACCGTTTCGCATTAGACTATGCATTATTTAACTTTAACCCTCGCCGGCCGAGGGGGGGGGGGCGGGTGCCGCCCCCCCCATAGGGTTTTTTCGCGATAGCTCCGAACACGCTGGCGATAGAGAGCTGAAACTTGGCATACCTGACCTTTGATCCAAGCCGCATCTTTTGACACCAACCGCATTTTTGGGTCAGGTCAGGTCACTGACCTATGACGTCATAAGTGAACCTCTGCACGGTCTTCAGATGTCGCAACTTCGCAACGCCCTCACTGCCAGAGGAGATGTCACAGGGAAATGAAACTTGCAGGATCTAGTATCCATTATGAGTCCCACAACTTGTATATCTCGGATTTTTCCTAAAGGTCATATGAGGTCAGGTCATTTTCGTGACCTCACCATTATAAGTCAATGGGGAAAAATGAAAACTGCTATTCTGGCGCCGGGAACGATCTCCAACTATCTCAAGCACACAGAATCGTGATTTTATGCACTCCTTGCAAGGTTAGATGCGTCACTTTTGCAATGTTGACCTTGCGTGACGTCATTTATGACGTCATCAAGGTCATATTAGTTTTTCGTCAATAACTCTTGATCAAATTGAGCTAGCGAGTCGGGAAAGTCACCAATGGACTCAGGAAGACCTGCCGAATCGAATGATATGCGACATGACCCCTTTCAACCAACTTCGTGACCTGGGGGTGCTGACCTGACCTTGACCTGAGGTCAACACCCCAAGTTGACCTGACCCGGACAAAAAGTATATCATTCGACGCGCCTGAGCGAGACAAACACGATGCTGCCAAAATCGGCGCTCTGCGGCCGTTTTTTGCGAAGCTATTCACCAAAAACTGAACCGTACCTTGGGGCACTTGACCTGACCTCAGAGGTCACCGGTTGACCTAGGACCTTAAAATCGGGTACCAATCTCTGCGTCTCGTAACGGCGCACACGCTCGTTTTTTTCCGCGACGCGCTAGCTCCACCAGGGGCGAAACGGCGAAGGGGGGGTCGTACCCGCCCCCCCCCCCTCGGCCGGCGCGTATGTAGAAAACCAATAGGTCCGGCGAGGGTTAAAAAGTCATAATCGCATCCTCCGGTGAACTCAGTTGTGCGGTGTGGTTGGGGTAGGGCGATCCACACCAGCCACATAATTTACTGAAAGCTGCTGACTGACAGCAAAAGTTATTAGCCGATCTGAACAATCAGAGAAGGGGGATTCACCGAAAAAAACATTTCGTCACATTTGCTATAAACATTTAAATAGGAACAAAAAATATCACATGACAAACAAATTATAAACAAGTGAGCAAGTGCAGCAAGCGTGCAAGTTTATCTATCGACTATCGTTATGAGCGGCCCGAGTCCCGACCCAGCCCGACCCAGCCCGACCTAGCCCGACCCGGCCCTTCCCATCCCGACCCGACCCGGCCCAGCCCGCCGACCCGGCCCGGCCCGACCCGACCCGGCCCTGCCCGGCCCGACCCGACCCGGCCCGGCCCGTCACCCCGTGACCCCGTGCCTTGAAGCTCGTCGGCCGCTCAATCGATAGACATTACTTACTTACTAGTAGACAAGCGGTCTTCTGCTTCAGATACCTGTAGATCCATTCCATCCTTTAGAACATGAATCCAACTTCTTTCGATGCATATCAGTGACCAACATGGCACGTGCCACGTGCGAGGTCAGGGATGTTAATTGCTAACGTTGTTCCACTAACGTAACGTTTTTTTTTCAGCAGCCGCTGTGCCGATTGATTTGCGGTCTTTTGTGTAGGATAGCCTCATCCCTTCTGTCAGCCATCAAGTATTCACAGACTCACCCTCGCGCTCGCTAGTTTATTGCCCCAAAAGGTGTCATACTGCCTACTGGTGACATTGACGTAGGTATGTTATGATGATAAAAATTATGATCATATTCAATATTGATAATGGTGATGATGAATGATGATGATAATGATAATGCTGCAGCTGTACCTACCTATTTGTAGAAACAAGTAGATGTCGCGGGTAACAAAAAAACTGTCAATGCGAGAGTGCAACATTTTTGGCCAGATGTTTCTTGTTCAGCTTACACAATGCAACACATCAGTGAATGAATTATGTCGAAAATCCAGAAGCAATATGCCTCTGCACTGTGTTGTTCCTGCAAGGAACAATAGCGACGCCACTGAATGTGACGGGGAATCCTCGGAGCTGATCACTGTTCCGGTTCGAACCGGTTCGGTCCGGTAGGACCCGCCGCCGGCGCTGTGCTCCCGGAGACTGCCTCGGGCTAAATCAGGGAGGTCGTTGTCGCCACACGGCCGCCGGCTCTGACCTGACACGTCTCACTGGGACAATGGCAGACGAGCCCCCAGCAACGTGCAGGGCATGCGACCGGTGATTGTTGTTTTGTGCTGGCGCACCTCTGACATGGAGTGAATATGTCTAACGGAATTACTGCTCTGGCTGATTGAGCCTGCAGCAGTAGTTTTGGCGTTTTGCAGGCTTAATTGACATCAGCTTTGAAGCCGTGAAAAAAACATATTTTCGTTTGCGCACGAATGCATTGGACTGGAGGAACTGCCGTCGGAGTATTCTGAGATAGTTCCAAACCCGTTCGAAGTGCGATAACAAGAGAATGTTGATACGATGCTGAGCCATTGTGGTCAAAATAACTCTCAAAATGGGTTACCCACAATAAGTCTCGAAAATTGACTGTAATGCTTCGAGCATCAAGCATTCTAGAAGCAAGGGTGTTTTACAATATTTGATAACGTAAGAAATAAAAATATATGCGGCTTGTGGGACCTTTGAATGTGGACAAAAGTTTGCATCTCCACTGGAATGCCGAGCCAGCCGCCAATCAGCTGGCTTCTCGGGCGTCTGCCGGTGACCTCGGCTGGCCCGCGGCGCCAGAGGTCACCCGGGTCACCCGTCTGGGCAGCGGGTGGCAGTTGGGACGACGGCGAGCAGCGGGTGCCAGCGGCGGAGGTGAGTGTGCCGACCGGGAGCGCGGGCTCCATGGGCGTAGTCTTTCTGGAAAGGAAGCTTGATGCTGAGATGGATTGAAGGATTTGCTTATGTTGTTGGTTGGTGACGCGGCAAGGCATCGAAACGGTTCTTTATTCAGCTATTTATTTTTAGATTTAATTGTTTAGCCCCACTAATAAAACATTTCAATTTCACTGATGCTGTTTTCTATGAACAGCTAAGATGGAAGTCTCTTGTAACTACATATGTGCAGTGGTCAAAGTTGAGCGCTCGAGGTGGCTGGGCTTTGGCGACAAAGGCCTTTCATGTCCACAATCCACATTTTTCTCTAGTTTTTGGCTGGCGTACTAACTATCCTGTTCACTTTCAGGTTTGCATTCTGGCGGGACGTTGTTTCTGAGGCCAACCTACATCTACCAATCAAGTAGCGATGCGTCTGCTGTCTGCCGTTCTGCTGGTGGTGCTGGCGGGGGCCGTTACAGCTGACCCTCTGAGGGGTCACGGCCTGGTTCACGGGCGCGGCCTGGGTCACGGCCTGGGTCACGGTCGCGGCCCACGGCTCGGTCTCGTCCGTCCCCGCCTTGGCCACCCTCGTGTACCCCTGCGCCGTGGGCCGGTGCACCACGGCGTGCACCATCCTGTGCACCATCCTGTGCACCATCCTGTGCACCACTCGGTGCACCAGCGTCGGCTCGGCTCTCGCCACGCTGTCCTACCGGCTCTGAAACCCGTCCGGCCCGGCTTCGGAGGCCTGCCCGTCGCTAAAGGTTAGTGGTGGGACTTTGGCACACTCAAATGCTACTAGAATTTAATGTTTTGCACCTGTTGAGACCACTGCCCGATGCGTATAACTATTGGTGCGAAATGGCTTTTTGGATTTTGTGGAACTATGTCATTTTGGTCATCCTAAACGTTGAGCAATTGACAAACGCTAAGCCATATTTTACTACATATTCATAATATAGATTCCCCTTCCAAATCATTAGAATGTAAGCTTGCCTCCGATTATGCCCGAAGTTTTTTCATGGCTGCTGAACGGCCCCTCCAGGCCTGACCTGACCTGATCTTTGTTGACCCCTCCAGGTCACCGAGGCAGCTGCCCGCCGCGCCGCCCGTTCTGCCCCCGGAAGGCGTACTCGTCCGCTCGGCCCCAGGTGTGCAAGGGCGACTTCTCGTGCAGCTACGCCGACAAGTGCTGCTACGACGCGTGCCTGGAGCTGAGGGTCTGCAAGCCGGCTCACTGAAGCGAGACGCGCTGGAAGCCGCCACTGAGCAGAGACGCGCAGGAAGCCAGGTCGCCTCCAGTGGTCTGGCTACTGATCATCCATGATCCAAGTGCGGTCCCCGGCGCTCGCTTTTCGGTGTGCGACCCGTTTCAAGAGCGGTGCCGAATGAATTTTATGGATTTGGCTGCGTGAACTTGACCATGCTCTTAGTTTTACCTATATAACAGTTTTTAAATAAATAATTGGAGCTGGTGCCTGTATGTTGGATTGCTGAATGTTGTCATTTTAGAATTTTGTATTTCCGGCTGTAGAAAGCTTTTTGCCTGGTGATGTGATCTGTTCGGCGTGCCTGTGAAAATGTGTTCCTGGATTTCGCTATAATACACTCGCTCCATGATCATTTATGTCTGAGGAGGTGAATGGATTGGTCTAAATTGTTTAGATTCGTTTTTCGCATATGTTTCGAGAGGACATCCACCCAACGTACATACAAACATATCCCGCGCGGGGCTCGGGTCTCCAGCCGAACGCGCGGGGCTGGGGGGGTAAATTTTACCCCCCCCCCCCCTGTTATCTCCCGAACTAATGGTCCGATTTGGAAAATTCAAACGCCAATCGAAAGCTCTCATCACACGAACTACTAAAAACATGTACTTAATTTAAAGTTTGAGGTCAAGGTCAAGGTCAGGTCAAGGGTACAAATTGCTAGTTTCTACAGTATCGGCCTTGCACCGTAGTTGCCGAAGAATGGAGTCATGGACTGAGACTGATCGCCCAAAACGTCTTCTTAGGCTACCAAGACAATATTCGTTGCATACAATAACATTCAGAGGTCAAGGTCAAGGTCAGGTCAGGTCAGGTCACCAAAAAACAAAATATAGAAAAGGGCATGTGCGACACATGTTTTATGGGTCATTTTACTCATAGAATTCAATAGGCACACTCAATAAGTGATATGGACCACCTCTGGATGAATTTCAGGTCGAGGTCAGGTCAAGGTCAGGTCAAGTGAGGTCAAATTTTGAAGTTGGTTGTTAAGGCCTAAAAAGGTGTCTATCTGATGCAGTTTTTCACGGCGAATCGAATGGTGCTATTTATGTTTCCGTACGAGGTCTAGAACTTCCAAAAAAGTCATTTTTCAAAAAATTTGTGTGTCGTGACGTCATAAAATTTTGAATAACTCCCACATTTTTGAACAGATTCTTCTAAAATTTGGTATGTAGGTGCACATAGACCACTTCTCTGACATATATTCCGGTTTTTTTCGATAGACTCAAAATTTTGGATTTTATAATGATTTTCCCAAAAAAGTCAGTTTTTTTAGAAAAAAAAATTAGGCCAAAATCCAAAATTTTCAAAAAACCGAGATAGCCATTTGATAGACAAAGTAAAATTACGTATAACCTTTTTTGTTACGTCTTGATTCCTTTAAAAATGAAGATGTTAGGGGCGTTTGAACTTTTGCCGTTTTTGAGGCGAAAATGGCGAACATCACGTCACTAAAACGTCAATTTCTCAAAAATTTTCCGACGGATTTCGCTCAAATTTTCAGGGAACGTGTCAAATTGATGTAACGTTAGGCGGCACGGGCGAACATCGATAGCAGCGCCTCTATCGGTCACTCGGAAAAGCTGGGCTGTAGGCGACGAAATACCGGCTGAGTTGTCACACGTTGAATAGGTTTATAGCCATCCGTCTTGTGAAAAAGTTGAACTTTTGCCTTTAATATTTCTGTAGGCAATTTTAGAAGTGTCTTCACATGGATTACAAAACCGTTTAGATTGTTGTATTCACTTCAAGCCTTTCCTATTGTTCTTGATGATGCGGGAACTATTTATAATTAGTGTTTCCAGCTTAGTAAAAGAACATACTGTGCAAACGATGAAAAAAGCATAAATGGAAGATTTTAAATGCAATTTTCTCTAACAATTAACCCGCGCACCGACGGGGGGGGCGGATATCCGCCCCCCCCCCTGAGGTTTTTCGCGAATAGCGGGAAAACCGCGGCGCGTAGCGCCGCGAAATTTGGTATGACTATTCCCTTATCAATTTTACACATGGTGTGCAAGTTTGAACCTCCTACCTTTCAAGGTCAGGTCACCAGGTCACTTTGAATGACCCAACCTCAAGTCACTTTTTTGCAACTTTGTCACCGTGCCAGAGCTACAGTAGATGTCGGAGGCCTTTGAAAGTCGCAGGATGTTATTAGGTCATTAGTAGCTACAATTTGTATATCTCGGAATTTTGATATCGGTGACCTAAGGTCAGGTCAATTTCGCGACCTCCCCATTATAAGTCAATGGGGGAAAAATCAACTCCCTGTTTTACCACTAAAACGGGTCGGAATGGCCCCATATACCATACATGACTTCATATACGATCAACCTTCACTACCTTGAGGTCAGTTTTGCTGTTGGGCAGCTGTGAGGTCATGTGACGTCATCAAAGGTCACCAAAGGTTTTTGGCCAATAACTCCGTACAGGAACAAGATACAGACGCGTGGATGGTCTCATTGTGTTCAGCTCGTCAAGACGCATCGAATGATATACATGATGACCTCGAGGTCACGTGACCTGAGGTCAACCTTTGACCTTGACCTTTCGAGGTCAACATATATATCATTCGATGCGGATTGACGAGAGGATCACGATGATGCCCTTAGTTTGTTTCTATCTTGACTAATTCGAAAGTTATTCGAGAAAAACTCTCCATATTTAGCGCCGCCATTTTGACTTTTTCGACCCCTGTGACGTCATCATTGACCTGACCTGAAAATGACCTTAGTAAAAATTGTAGATCTTGACCGTGCGTATCCGATGCCGTTTACCGCTTGTCACTATCTTGCTTCGTTCTCGAGATCTCAGGGGGGGGGCGGTCATCCGCCCCCCCCCCCGTCGGTACTAAGTTGGCGCAGACCCCCGTCGGTGCGCGGGTTAATGGTAAATTCTATACATATCAAAGAAAGGGTGCATGCTGGCTGATAATTTAAAGTTCTTGGGGCCAGTTGCTTTCTTCTTTTCTTACGTCGCCCCAATGGCCGCGAATACACTTGTGATAACGCCTATCGAGAAAAGGTACTGAAAGTTTGGCGGCGCTGCGCGCCGCCGTTTTTGAGATATCGCAAAAATTCGCGAGGGGGGGTAAAATTTACCCCCCCCCCAGCCCGGCGCGGGATATGGGAAGCGATAAAAACCGCCAGCAATTAACCCGCGCCCCACTGGGGTCTGCGTATAACACGCCCTTCCGGGGGGGGGGGAGCTTTTCATAGCCCCCCCTCCTAACTCCGAAACTACCGGGCCGATCGTCAAAATTCAAACGGCGTCTGATAGCCCCGGAAAAACTGTCGAGCGAAACCTAATTTCATTGACCTCGAGGTCACCGATGACGTCACAGGTCAGGTCAAAGTAAAAATTGTTAGCATTTTGGCTTCTTCACGTTTTGGGCTCTGGCCGCCGTCTTACAAGTCAGATCAGGCTCATTTTTGGTTCACACACTCAAGAACAGATGCTCTAGATACTCTGAGGGTACCGAACTTGTACTTTGATTTTCAGGTCAAGGTCAGGTCATCACAGGTCACGAAAATATATCAACCGTCGGTCACGTGACGCATGTTTTATGGTCCATTTGGGTCAGAGCTTTCGAATTTGATGTCGTCTGTGTCATTCGAGGTCATTTTGAGTCAAATTTAGCTCAGGTCAGGTCACTTTCAGGTCAAAAAGGTCAAATTTGAAGTTAAAATTTTTCAACAAAAAAGGTGTATGTTTGATGCAGTTTGAGCTCAGGAACACGATGGTGCTATTTATATTGGCGTACGATGTCAAATTCATGCTGAAAAATAGATTTGAAAAATTAATAATGGTTAATTTTTGCAATATTGCGTATAACTTGGCCATTTTTGAAGATATTTAGCTAAAACTTGCTAGAGTTATAGTTCGTTTTTCTTAAGTTTGCCCCTCACTGTAAACGTCTCTTTGAACACAGCACGAGAATTGCTAGCTGAATTACTGAGAAAACTGGTTAGCGCACATTGTATTGTAGATATGAATAATATTTTCAAAAATAAGTTTTTAACACCGACGATTTGACGTTATGTTAAGCGCCGTGCAATTTATTTATTAGTTCAGACATAATTCCTGAGGAATCGTCTATCCCTGTGGGCCTGTAGGTATTGGCAAGTACGATTTACGAGTCTGTGAAATAGTAAATAAATTTGATGAAATTGATCGTCTGTGAATTCTTGTCAAATCAGTGTGCGCCAACCAGTTTTCTCAGTAATTCAGCTAGCAATTCTCGTGCTATGTTCAAAAAGACGTTTACAGTGAGGGGCAAACTTAAGAAAAACGAACTATAGTCATAATAAAGCGTTCTATCACATATTAACCGGTTTTTTCGAAAAGTCAAAAAAAATGTTGAAAAGAAATGTAAAAATATAAATTTTGAAATTTATTATTAAAATTTTTCAAAATTTTCAAAATTTCGAAAATTCGAGATAACAGTTTGATAGCGCAGTCTATTCTGAGTCCTCTCATGCAAAGAAATTGGATCTAGCTTAAAAACTGAGCTCTTGGGAGCGATTGCCGTGGTTCAATGTTTTGCGTCGAAATCGGCCGAACATGACGTCACTCTGACGTCATTTCCGGCCGACCTATGGTAGGTACGAAGTTGAAATTTTAACACAAGGTGTCAAATTGATGCAGCCGAAGGTACTGAAAGTTTGGCGTCGATACGTCAAGCGGTTTGGAAGTTATTGCAAAAAAACGGGAGGGGGGTTATAAATAGCCCCCCCCCCCAGTGGGGCGCGGGTTAAAATCCGGACTAATGCATGATTATTTGACTAATATAGAAGAGTTAATCGCCACGGAACATAAATATCAGCAATTCATGCCTTGATCGCTTGCCTGTCTGTGAGCTGTCAACAGAAATGATGGGGGAGGGAAGCTTCGATGGCCCTCGCCGGATCAGTCTGTTTCATACGTTCGATCCGGCCGAGGGGAGGGGTTGTTGAACTATCCTTGTTACGTTCCGCTCCCATCTGAGATAAAGCGTCGCGGTAGAATATGCGCATGAGACTTAATGAGACGCAGCGGCTGGTACATTTGACCCGCGCACCGACTTAGTGCGCACCGACTTAGTGGTTCTGCGCCAACTTAGAACCGACGGGGGGGGCGGATGACCGCCCCCCTGAGATCTCGAGAACGAAGCAAGATAGCTCGACAAGCGGTAAACGGCATGGGCTACGCACGGATAAGGTCTACAGTTTTTACAAGGGTCATTTTCAGGTCAGGTCAAAGATGACGCCACAGGGGCCAAAAAAGTCAAAACGGCGGCGCTAGATATGGAGAGTTTTTCTCGAATAACTTTCGAACTAGTCAAGATAGAAACAAATAAGGGCCTCATCGTGATCCTCTCGTCCATCCGCATCGAATGATATATATGCTGACCTCGAAAGGTCAAGGTCAAAGGTTGACCTCAGGTCACGTGACCTCGAGGTCATCATGGGTATCATTCGATGCGCCTTGACGAGCTGAACACAATGAGACCATCCGCACGGCTGTATCTTGTTCCTGTACGGAGTTGTTGGCAAAAAAACCTTTGGTGACCTTTGATGACGTCACATGACCTTACAGCTGCCCAACAGCAAAACAGACCTCAAGGTAGTGAAGGCTGATCGTATATGAAGTCACGTATAAACCAGCAATAGCAAGATTGTTTTATTGCAGGGATCCCATAGCAAAGTTTAGCATCAACACTGCCATAGACTTCTTATATAGAGAAGTCTGTGACACTGCATAAGTTTTAGATTAGGCACCTATCATATTTTATTTGTCTCCTACGGATGCTTGCAATGGTGAAATCAGCTGTACTTCGTGGAATCCTCACTTCTTACCAGGAAACCTCGCTCCTCGGCCTCGAGTGCCGCAGCCCACGCATGCCTACAAGAGCAGTCGTTTACATGCGCTGGTTGAACTCACACGTCATCGATAATTTGGTCGTACGCTGCATTTCAACAGGGACGGGGCCGACCTGGGTAAAGCCAGACGGAAATTTCCAACAGGGAAGTGGAAAACAACTCCCAAATGGTGGCGCCAGAGGAGGCGAAGGGTTCAAAGCGGCGGATTAGTTACCTGCCGGTGAGACTCTGGAATGTTGTGATCAGACCGAGGGGTCCCGGCGGGGCGGGGCCTGCCTGGGGAGCCCGGGGGGACAGGGAGGGGAGCCCGGGGGGACAGGGAGGCGGGCCCGAGGGGACCGGGGGAGGCCGAGGGGACCGGGGGTCCAGGGACCGGCAGTCGGAGGGCCAGTGTGCAGACTGAGACCCGGCCGCTGTGTGGAACGGTCAGAGCTGAGCAGCCGGGATAGTTCTACCTTCGGTTCGTCACAGACCGTCGCCTGCCAGGTGAGGTTCCAGGTGAGTTCGGTTGACAAGGTTAGAGTTGACGAGGTGATCAGCCACGATGATGCTCAATGGCAGATCCGTTTGCAATGTGCTGGTATGTATGTAACTTAAAGTGTTTGTAATGTGTTTATGATTTTTAAAACGAAGGATGTTAGGTATGACACCAAATTATAGGGGGAATAGGAATAAAAATAGGTACCTACCTAGTTCCACCTATTTAATATTTTTTTTCGCAATTTCGGGAAAAATATTGGCAGTAGATGCACCAGACCAGCTGAGCACATAAGACTGTAATACCGAACGCTAAATCTGGAGAGTCCAATCGTTGCTAATTACACGGCTTAATTTGCCTACTTAGGCCGGGGGATCCAGGGCGTCTGTTTTCCTGAGGGTACATTTTTGAATTTGCGTCAGAAAATCCAGATTGAGATGAGTTCAGTAATGCGGAAAATTTCAAGTTCATAACTTTACCAGGGGCGGCTCCAGAGCACTGGGAATTGGGGGGTCCTATTCGTGAAGCGAGTCATTTTGGCGAAGATCACGATGCTGATGTATTATAACTGTATGCAACTGCACCAGTTTTACGAACAGTGAATGAAAGGTATCATGTGATAACATATACAAAGTTATTTGCATCCTCTTTTGACACGTTTTTGCTATAATAGGCGGATCCAGGCGTCCAAAAAGGGGGGGTTATGTTTTACTTCCCAACATAGGTGCCCTGACACCGCCTATGCATGACCAATACAATTGTAGTCGTTCTCTCATAAGAAAATTGTAACATAACAAGACCATTGCCACCCTTTTTAGAAACAGTACCAACAAAAACCTTATTAACTATGCTTTTTGTGTTCCCCCAATCTCAATGATCTGTATCCGCCTATGATTTTTGAATATGCATATTTTTAGGATCCATGTAAATTCCTTGTTCATTCTCTATCGATCGGCAAAAGTTGCGTTAAGATTGGTTCAGAAACCTGGCCGTGATAAACAGTCTAAAATGTATCTGCAATTTACCCGTTTTTACCCCCCTGTACCCACCTATTGACATTTTTTAATTTTTATTTTTTAGAAATGTAGATCACGTTGAGCGAAATCGAATGCCGTTTGAATTTTGAAAATCGGCCCGTTAGATCTCGAGATATCAGGGGGGGGGGTCGTAAACAGCCCCCCTGCCACTAATAGGGGTAGCCAGGAGCCTGCCACTAATAGGGCTAAAACCCTTTTGTTAACCAATTCCGCGAACAACAGCTTCTATTATTGCATTCCGGTGATCAACATCAAGTTTCCCTGTAATCACCTTGCTTGACTGGATTGCGGCTACAAAGTCTGCATGTCTACTGGCACCGAGGCGCGGCAGCCAATCAGCGCTCGAGCCGTGGTCGACCGACCTAGCCCGCGGCCAAACGGCCCAGACCAGCGGCAGGCGAGGGCCGGGGCCGTTCAGTCGAGTGCTCGAGGTCGGAGCGGGGTGTGCTGCTATCAGGTGAGGCTGAGCCGGGGTCATACAGTGGGCAGCTGGTGTTAGTTTGGAGTTTGGACTGTTCTTTGGGTCAACACGGAACTTTGCAGCGCATCTCTTTCGTGTCAGTTATTTGATGACAGTAGATGACTGTAGGAAAAATGACAGTAAATTAAACAGCTTTTGTTTTATAACATTTGCTGTATTTCAAGTGAGACATGAATGGTTCGTTTTAAGGGCTCCAAATATTGTCTCGCGTTTCGTTTGTTGATGCGCGTTTATTTATCGTTCTTTCTGTGTGATTTCAGCCCAGATCGTGACAAGATGCGTCTCTCTGCCGCCGTTGTGGTGCTGGCCCTGGCGGTGACCGTCTCCGGCGGACACCTGAGCGACCTCATCAAAGGTCACGGCTCCGGTCACCGTCTGGGTCCCGGTGTGGGCCTGGGTCACGGGTCAGGTCATGGGTCAGGCCACGGCTTCGGTCACGGGTCAGGCCACGGCTCTGGTCACGGTCACGGATCAGGTCACGGCTCCTCGAGCTGTACCTACTGGTGCAAGACCCGCTCCAACCGTTTCTACTGCTGCGACGATTCCGGCTCCGAAGGTGAGGTGATCCCGGATCCGAAGGTGTGCCGCGGAGGGTGATATTTTTAATAACACGGAACAAAAATGATAGACGAACGCGTTTCGGCTAAATCACCGTCATCAGCGTCTAAAAGAGAGTCGGTTCTCCTTTTAGACGCTGATGACGGTGATTTAGCCGAAACACGTTCGTCTATCATTTTTGTTCCGTGTTATTATACTTGTCTCAACTGAAATACAGGTGAAATTTTTGTAACAGTTTTATAGGAAAATGAACTATACCTTTCGGTTAAATTCATATTGGCAAATTTTAATTGATTAAATGGTGAAGTAAATCAAACGATAAACAATAACAGCTAAACAATTCGCTTTTTCAATTAACCCTCGCCCGTAAACGGCGATCTGCCACCTTCGCCCATGCAGGGGGGGTTGGTGCGACCCCCCCCCCCCTTGGCGTTTGAAAACGGAGCGTCGTAGAGCTTAGCAGAAAAAACCAACGGATTGCTCTCGCCGAGATCTCGCGATTGGTGGTATATTTTTTGGTCCTAGGTCAACATTTGACCTACTTTTGACCGGTCAAAGGTCAAATTTTCGGAAAAATAGACTTTTTTCAACTTTCCGCGGCGATTGCGGCAAAACGGTGGGAGGTATCGAGTTGAAACCTTCACTATCGTGTTCCTTGATCAATTCTCTATCGTTTGGTATGTATTTCGTTTCCCTAGCTCTAAAAATCGCGCGTTGGGAGCGCCGGAAGTCGGCAAGGTCACAGTCGGCGGCAGAAATTCGAAAAATCAAAATTTAAATTTTTGAAATCTGATTGTATTTTTGGATTTGGGAGGTCCATTTGCTCCCTATAGAAGCTAATATTGCTGCATATTCCCATTGAGGTAACAAGAATTAGCAAAATAGTGGTTCGGGCGCTTTTCAAAAATAGTACCGGACGCTGTTCCTCTTGTGACGTCATAGCTCCGTGACCTGACCTGACCCGGTCAAGTTTCTTATACCATATGATAGCCAATACTTGTCCCAACATGGATGGGAAGTTTCATCACGATCCATCAACCGATGTCCGTACCACCGGCAGGAAACCTCGGGCGTTGGCACTCAGTCTGTGAAAATCCGGCCGGAGGCTGTTCCCTTTGTGACGTCATAACTCCGTGACCTGACATGACCCGGTCAAAATTTTTTTTATCAAAAGATGCGCAAGGTTTGCCCCATAAGGTACCCAAAATTTGGCGGCGCTGCGCGCCGCCGTTTTTGCACTATTTCCGAAAAGCCTTAGGGGGGGGGTGCACCAACCCCCCCCCTACATGGGCGAGGGTTAATCAGGCATTTATTTGAAGAAAAGTCAATATAGCCCGGGTGTTCGGGCAGTTTCGTGGTCTAGTTTATCACTCGTGCTTCAGCGAATTGCATTATCCACAAGTCGACAAATGCTTATACTCTTCATTGTTTTCTTTGCAACGCTTAAAAAATTGGGAAAATAGTTCGATTTAGGCAAATTTTTGCTAATTAATTCGACAAAAATTGAAAAGGAACATTTTTTTAAAGGGTTTATTATGAATCATTCTATGATATTTAACCCTGGGGCATTCCACGATAGATCGTACCACTTTTTTCGAATTTGACACCCTCATCTCTCGGATTTTAACGATAATTGGTCTAAGGGGTAAGCAGGGGCTCTGAATCCTCCTGTAACAATTTCAAGCTTATCAGACGAGTGGTTTTTGAGTTATAGTGTATAACATGTTTTGGATCTTGCGTTGCAGCCCCAAGTTTGGCGGGCTGTAACTCTAAGACGGATAATCAAAATGCCGAATGCTATACGGCATTAAACTTGCATTGAAACAAAGAATAATATGCATTTTCAACATTTTGAAATATATGCTATTTTTGATATATAACACCTCGAGTTTCCTTTAACCCGCGCCCCGCTGGGGGTCCTGGATTTCCACGCCCTGCTGGGGGGGGGGTGTTTGAACACCCCCCTTGTAACTCGGCTCCTGGGCCACGTAGCGATACGCGGAAGGCGGCGTTCGAAAGAGCGTAAGAAATAATGACGAAATCACTTCGGTCAATTTTTTGGTCAGGTCAAAGGTCAGGTCACCAGAGGTCATTGAAGGCAAAATTTCGCCGATTTCCAGGTCGAATGTCGAAAATTTCCAAGAAGCTAACGCATAACTCGGGAATCAATAGAGCTACAACGCCGCAGAAAAGTGCATTCGATAGCCCTATTAACGCCCTTTCTGAGTAATTCTCTCAGATTTGACCTAACGTCAACGGTTTTGCCTGCAGGGGGCAAAAGCTGCAAAAATAGCCGATTTTTTCGGAAACAGTTTTTCTGCAATAACTTTTGACCCAAGCCTTGTACGAGCTTACTTTTACCGGTATCGTGTTCCTCTCGTCAAGACGCATCGAATGAACTATAACTTGACCTTGAAAGGTCAACTTGAAAATTTGACCTCAGGTCAAGGTCATGACCTGACCGGAAAGGGTCATGTTGCATATCAGTCGATCCGTATCGTCGAGCTGAACACATATAAGGCGTTTTCATCGCTCTAGCATGTCTCTATCAAAAGTTATTTGCGAAAAACTGTTAGATACCATTCGTGACCTAAGATGACCTCAGGGCACAAACAAGGGTCACGGGCACCATTTTCATGTTCAGTGTGTCTAAACCACTTGTAATTCGGTGTTTGGGAGTGTTAATAATGTCCTTCGTCCAAAAGAGGCGCATTTCAATTTTCTCCCATTGACTTATAATGGGGAGGTCGCAAAATTGACCTGACCTTAGGTCATCGATATCAAAATTCTGAGATATACATTTTGTACATGCTATTGCTCTTAGCAATCGCTGAAAGTTTCAAAGCGATCGGTCACTCGGTGTAGCTATGACAGACATTGAAACTTTTTATGAGGTGAGGTCACTTCAAGTGACCTGGTGACCTGACCTTGAATGACCTTGGTCTTCAATTTTCACAACATGTGTAGAATTGATGTATGATAAGGTGTACCAAAAACGGCGGCGCTCCGCGCCGCCGTTTTTGAGATATTCGCGAAAAACCACAAGGGGGGGTGTTCAAACACCCCCCCCCCCAGCAGGGCGCGGGTTAATTTGCATTTTTATGCCTTTGGGACCAAATTTTTTTGAATTTTTATTTACTTAAAAACATTTTTGGATCATTGTTAAGTAGTATGCAAAAAATTAGGAAGGTGTTCTTTCTATAAATGTACTTATTTTGCGTCACCGTAATGGTCTCGTATTGTGATTTCGGAAAAGAGCCTACAAATGGTGTGGTAAAGCTGCCTAGTGACATCACTGGTTACTGAAAGTTCAGTTGAAGTCATTTTCGCCTCACTGTTGCATTGTTGATCTTTCGTGACGTCATTCGTACGTCACTAGGGTCATGAGAGTTTTTCGTCAATAACTCTCGATCAAATTGAGCTAGAGAGACGGGAAAGCTACCAATGCACTCGGAAAGACATTGTGAATCGAATGATGTGCAATATGATCTCATTCACTCAGCTTCGTGGCCTGACCCGACTGTTAACCATCTCTGTAGCGGCGCTGTTTGTCCAGCGCCGCGCTGGTTGGCTTTGCCGCGGACTCGAGCGGTCACGTGATGCCCGGGGGCTGGCTGCCGGCTGGGCCGCCCGGTCAGGGCGCGGAGTCAAATACACGGCAGTGTGCTGACCCGAGGTCAGCGACTTAAGCTGACTTCACCAGAACAAACAGTATACCATTCGACGCGCCGGAGCTAGGCAAACACAAAGATGCTAAAATCGCGGTTCTGCGACCATTTGTTGCGAAGTTATCTATCAAAAACCGGACCCGTAATTTGGGTCACTTGAAATGACCTCAGGGGTCACCAATGAACCCGAGACCTTAAAGTGTGGTATTATTCGATGCATCTTGTAACGGCGCACATGCTCGTTTTTTTCCGCAAGGTTCTAGCTCCATTAGAAGCGAAACGGCGAGCTGGGGTGACCCCCGGAAACTCATTTTGTATACACTAAAATGAGGAACTTATAGAAAAGAACACCTTTCTAATTTTTTGCATGTCGATTTTAAAGGACCTGAGGTATATTTTGAAAAAATAAAAATGGCAAAAATTTTGGTCCCAAGGGCCATTAAAGACAATTTAAAAAAATACTACGACTTTTTTCAATATGTTAAGCTTTTCTTTCCAATTTTAAAAATACTGTATCAATCTTTGATTCATCGTTAGTTCAAAGCTGTTTACCGTTTGTTGCTTGCTTAGCTCGTTTTTGAGTTATAGCTCATCAAACTCACCCTTACAATCTGAAGTTTAGAAAATATTATGCAATGTAACTCAAAAAGTTTTGATCTGAGAAGTCTGATATTTTGACAGGTGTTTTTGGAGCCTATGACTACCCATTGTACCAATTTTCATTCAAATCTGAGAGATGAGGGTTACGGGCCTGGTACGATCTATCGTGGAATGCCCCCCCCCCCCCTATCAGTGGCAGGCTCCTGGCTACCCCTATTAGTGGCAGGGCTGTTTACGACCCCCCCTTGATATCTCGAGATCTAACGGGCCGATTTTCAAAATTCAAACGGCATTCGATTTCGCTCAACGTGATCTACATTTCTAAAAAATAAAAATTAAAAAATGTCAATAGGGGGGGTAGAGGGGGGTAAAAACGGGCAAATTGCAGATACATTTTAGACTGTTTATCACGGCCAGGTTTCTGAACCAATCTTTTTTTTTTTTTTTTTTTTTTTTTTTTTTTTTTTTTTTTTTTTCAAATATCATTTTTTTTATTATTTCGCCACCACATCACACATGCACCCACACACAGTTACAAGAAGCACAATGCACATCACAA